CCCCCTGACTGTGGAAAATCAAATTGTACAGCTCCAGAGTTTATCCTCCTCCCTCGGCATTGTTTTTTGTTTTTGTTTTTTAGAGCCTATGATTAAGAGGAATCTTAAAACTGTAAATAAATATTATTGTGCTGAAATATGAATGTCACTTCAAAAATGTATTTGAATGAGTTAGTCAAGGGCTTCAAGAATGAAGGACCCACATTTCTTTTTATGGTTTCATATTTTTGATTTGCAGAAAGGTAAAGGTCCTTTTTATCTGAGATGCCTATGTTTTATTTTGTGTTTTGTTTTTTTTTTGTTTTTCTCTTTGGATTCATATAATACAATGTGTCACACATGAACCTTATAAAAATCACTTTTTATTCCCTCCACACCTAAAGGGAAAACTCCAATTTGCACCCTTTTTTATGTAAAATAAAAGATCTCTCCACCTTGTGGGCATGTCTCTTGTGACGTGATTTTTGTAAAGTCTACTTCAGGAAAGGTTTTGACTTTGATCAATTTTTAATGTGTGTAACTTATAAACCCAGCAGATTTGGAGCTTCATATTCAAAAACCGGAAATGCTGTTTTCAGCTCATAAGCTGCATAAGGATCTCTGAGGTTTTCTATCAGGTCAGCTGTTTGAAGACAAGTTTTACTTTGTTTTAGAGTTTGACTGATAGAGGAGACCAATACCAATATTTAGAGATATCAGCCAATACTTTTTTTCCTTACGTGGAAGTTTTATACTGCCCTCTGGTGGACAAACAGTGCAACACCACCTACAAGGTTGAAGGGTGTTTCTTCCATCTTTTTCTTAATTGTATTGGTTGATATTAATGCTGATACCTATAGACTGGCAAATGTCTAATATTAGGATTGCAAATAAGTTGGATGGGTTGATAAAAATTGACATTTGTGTCACAGCAGCCAAAACAAGAATGTGGCTCATAAAAATAAAGCTTTTACCATCAAATAGCTGAGGAAAGAAAATACACACATGAGCTCACTTGAATTAAGATGTGGAAAGGTCAATCTGCAGGTTTTGAATTAGAATTGGAATTTCATAACAAACTCGGATTTTGCTCTTTAAAGATTTTTAACACCATTATGGCCGGCCAATGTAAACGGACCATTTCAAAACAAACTGGTGCTGGAGGTATTTTGACAAAAGTTTTGTTTTGCATCTGTCACAATCAATAAGGTATTGCATGTAGTTTTAAATGCCACTTCAGCAGCTACATTATCATGTAAGTTGTGAAATGGTTTTAATAAAGACAGGTCACATTTCTTTTTTAAATGTTTATATTTACAAATCCCTTTACTCCTAAGGTTTATATTTTGTTGCTAGATAGCTTGAAAACTGTCACTTGGCAAAATGAAATATATTTCACGCTCAAAAATCAAATTTCCCCAAATCCATCTTGGACTGAGACAGTCTTAGTCCCTTGGGGCTGCTTTGCACAGAAAATATTTCAAAAATAAACAAAAAATTTCATTTTGTAGCAAAATGTTAAACCTCTGAGCAGTGCACTCCGGGTTTTAATTTACTGTATCAGTCTAATCAGTTAAAAACATGAAATGGTGACTGTAATTTTAAAAAATGTAACTGGTTATTTCTCAATTTTTCTATTGCTGCAAAGCAATGTATGCATATGAACGAATGTTTGTGCTGTTAAAGCAACTTGTCATCTGTAAGACAAAATTACAAAATTTGGTTCAAATCTCAAAATGTTGATTTAATTTAAGTTTCTTTTGCATCAGTTGGAATTATTTTCTCAGCATTTCGAGTTTTTAAGGCTCAGCTCAACACTAACCGTGACCCTGACACTAATCCTAATTCTAATGTTGATTTATTAAATTGAAATTTTGGGATAGAAACCCAAATCTTGATCTATGTGCAAAACACAAAGATAGTTCACAAGTAACGTGATGTTTTCTCCTCCCACCGCTAGGCGGCGACACTGCTCGCTACGCTGTAGCAGCGCAGCCTCTAAACTATAAACTTCTGGTGTGCGCGTGCGTTAACCCTTTTCCACCGGTCCGAGTCAACATGGTGGGTCCACGGAAAGCATTTCATCTACTCGTCCTCCACAATCCTTCACAATCCTCACTGGCTGTCCCGTCACCGAGCGGCTACTACCGTCAGTCTGCACACAGGCGACACGAAGATTTATAAAAGCGGGTTTTCGACGCACTTTGGTGGCGTTAACCATGTAAACACAGACTGACTACTCCCGAAGTAACCGGGCACCAAGCCGCAGGTTCGCGGTGCACCTTTAACAGTTTAGCTCCGCTCGTGTTTGTGTGCTTCTCATACTGAGTTCATGTCCGTTAGTTGTTGGTGGAAAGTTTGTTCATAAGGACAACTTTCGTTTAGCCGTCTTTACCGTGGCAATGTTTTGCACGGGGACTAGCTGCTCGGTGACTTGAGGATGGTGATGAGTTTGTGTTCAATGTACTCAAAATATGTTTTAACGTTTATCGGCCATTAATGTCTAAATATATAAGTGTCGTCTGTTAAATAAGTCGTTAAATGTGATTTATAGACGTTTAGACTCACTTGACATTCTGTCATATGATCGGTCACTACGTGATTTTAACATGTGACACACTTTGCCACTAAAAGCTGTCATACCTTTTCTCTTATTCCAAAGTTTTTAAACTGCAGACAGTGTTTTTTGGGGGGAATCAGTGAAGATATTTGAAATTCCTTCTTCAGCAATTCATACGGACGAAATCTAAGTCTGTGTGCCTCCTCCTCCTCCAGGGTCGAGTCAGGACGAAGACGGTCAAGAAGGCCGCCAGGGTGATCATCGAGAAGTACTACACACGACTGGGCAATGACTTCCACACCAACAAGAGGGTGTGCGAGGAGATCGCCATCATCCCTAGCAAACCTCTGCGTAACAAGATTGCAGGGTGAGTGGGGTTTCAGCTGTGTGCACTCCTGCTTTAGCCTCAGATCGTGATTTGTTAAGCACAGATTTAAGGCAGAGGATTTCAGCTACAACATCCTGTTATTTCTTCAGCGCAGCTTCACTATCCTGAGAGATCAAACATTATTTATGAACCTCTGTCCCTGTCCGTGCACACCACACAGGAGAATGTCAGAGCAGCCCACATAGATGTATTTGAGGTCTGGTGGGGCCAAGCGTTTAGCTAGCTGACTTGTAGATGGTAGTAATTTTTTCCAAGTGTAGCTTTAAATCAAACTCTGGCTTGGTTTTCCCCTTGGTGTGGTTCCTTTGTCCTAAAGTGGCTCAAAACGGATGTAAAAAAACAAAAACTAGTTAATTTATGTTGAACTTTATCCGACCTCAGTCTGACAGCAGGGGTAGGGTGTTTGCAGTTCGCTGGCAGTCCAGGGATGGCCCGTCTACCTGCAGTGAGCTTTGTTGTCAGATGGAGGCAGTGTACAAAGTATGTGGTATAACTGGTCTGTGGGCCACTCTTGCTTGTCTACTGTTGGCCCATTGGCCATGTAGAAGAGTGAAGTTGGAACAAACAAAGAGCTGAAGTGAAGCAGATTGTTTAAAAACAGTGAAAAATGTACACTGTCTATGCTTTTCATGCCGTATCTCTGAAGTTGTTTTTCATGGTGACAACAAACTTCCCGAATCTGTGCCCCTTGTCAACCAATCAGCATTAGGCAAAGCAAAGCAGCACATGTGGAGCTGTTGGCGTAAAAAAATGAAGTTTTCCAATCAGCTGTTGCATGTTTGGGGTGCAGAGGTGGTGCACCCCAAGTCAGAACCTCTGAGAATTCCTCCCTCTGATTTCCTACGGCTCGTCATGTTAATGAAACATGAACGCTGTTTTATTCTTTAATTCAGGCTTTGTCTTTATATGTGCGTGTTTGTTTTTTGATATTGAATGAGATTGATATGTTGTGTTTATTAATTTGGGGGGTTGCTTTTTGGGTTTTCTCATTTTTCTTTGAGAAAAAGGTGACACTCACATGATGTAGCGCTGATATATCTTCTTTGTGATCTCTTGAATGAAGCTGGTGAAGAACCAGAGTGGCAATAAAGTTTAAATGTGATTCGGGTTAGGGACAGTGCATTTGCTTTACAGCTAGAAGGTCAGGTTCAAGTCTGCCATTAGGCAGTTCGCATGTTCTCTCCAGGTACTCCTGCTTCCTCTCACATTCAAAATGTAGTTAAGTGTGCATGTGAGTGGGAATAAGCCCTGTGACAGACTGCTGACCTGTCCATGGTGTAGCCTGCCTGTCAGCCTAATGTGATTCGGGGGAGGTTGTTTTGGGGGTTTTGATTAGTTGGTTCATTAAAAAAGAAAAAAGACTCAGCTGGTATGAGTTTCACACCACGTTTCTGCAGGTTAAACGAGTTGATGAGCTTGGAAGACGATTCATGTGAAGTGGTTGTTTTTAGCTGAAGTCATTTTTCTCGGATTGTTAGATTCTGTGTGCGTGATGTGCTTCTGTTATGAACCTGAGAGCTGGTGCACAGTAGCCACTCATTTAAACTCCACCATTGCTGTTTTGAATATTTTCTGTGTTTGGTCTGAATTAACTAAAACTTCAGACATGTTGAAGTTAAATCATAAAACTGCTAAAAAAAAACAAAGTTAAACTTAGAAACATTTGTATTTTGCTGCTGGAGGTTTGGAGTACGTAGAAATGTGAACTGCTTACAGTCAGAAAAAATGTGTACTAATCTGCTGTAGGTTTCTAATTGTGTGTTTGTGCTCACTTGTGTCTCAGGTATGTGACACACCTGATGAAGCGTATCCAGCGCGGTCCAGTCAGAGGAATCTCAATCAAGCTGCAGGAGGAGGAGAGAGAGAGGAGGGACAACTACGTCCCAGAGGTCAGTTCACTGTCTTCTGTCCTACCTGTGACGGCTGACTGTAGTGCTCCCCGTGCCTTAGGTTGCACACCTTGTGTGGGGCTACGTTGAGCTGCCGCTCGAGTGTCCACGGGTTTCCTTAAGCATCTTTGTTGTCACTGAGCATTTCTCTCCAGCTGTTGCTGGAGTAAACATGGAGGTGAAAGGACAGTTCAGGTGGCTCATTTGTGTCTCTCATCCTGTAGATTTCTGCTCTGGACCAGGAGATCATTGAGGTGGATCCAGACACAAAAGAAATGCTCAAGATGTTGGTGAGTCTCAGATGTTATTTGCTGATTTATTTGGTTGCCACATAATTGAAAGTCCTTCTGAATTTGCAGCAGAACCCTGACATGTGATTTCCGTTAGTAACACTTAATATTTTGATAAAGAACATAATGGGCACATTGCAAAGAAATTGCCAGGTGTAATTTATCAATAATGGTCATTTAAGTACCAGTGTGTTTAGTGGGGGTGGGAAGGAAGTAGTTCTACACACATGAAATGAGTGCATTAAAAGGGTGGAGCAATCACCTGTTTTTTAACTGACATTTACATTATTTTACATTTGTAACTGACTGAGTCTTTGCACAGAGTTAAAGCACGCCCATATTTATACGTCATGCGTCCAATTTAGGCTGTGGTGTGTGGTTAGAGCAAAATTAAGAATCCAATACATTAATAAGCAGAGAAAAGATAAATATAGAAACAGAAAACACTGGCATGTCTTCTCCTTTTTCTGCGACTTCTGTAAACATTTTTCTGAGTTTATGGACTCAGAAAAATGTCCTGGACATGTTACATCCTGTGGAAAACACTAACATGATGGAAATGACTTTTGCTAAACACTGACTGGCATCACAATGGCTGCATCCACCTGTAATCTAGTCGGGGTAAAAATGAGAAATAGTCTGGGCAACAAAGTCACTTGTTTATCATTAGTTTTAATTTATTCTGAGGTGTCTTTGCTAGCTGAACTGTCATGTCACAGCTTTTAACTTGGTTGTTTAAATCACTAAAACGTTCTTCTTCTTGTAGGACTTTGGTGGCCTTTCCAATCTTCAAGTCACTCAGCCATCCATCGGGATGAACTTCAAGACGCCACGAGGACTTTAAAATCATGTTTGATGGCCTCTGAATAAAGACAGTTGTTAAAAATGTTCAATTTAAAGCTTTCTGGATCTTTCCTAAAACATACATGAACATTAAGGAGCGCACGTTCTCATCAGCCAAACTGCCCTTACTGAGAAAGTCAATAGAAGCGCTTTGGATAGGTAGTCGTGGTAAATGAGAAGAGGCTCATTGCATCATGGGAATCCACAGTATGGCGATGGTACTTTTAAGTGAATTTGAAGGACTCACAACACTATTCTGCTTCAATAGTTGGGCAGTGGTATCAACAGAATCAAGTGCTTCTAAAGCTGTGTGCAAGTAAAAGTAACCAAGTTAACACTTAAATGAAGACTTTATACATTTTAGTTCTATAGCCTCTTAAATCATATTACAACCAATTTTTCTACACGGCATTAAGCATGCACTGAATTGTTAATGACAATATTTGCCAAGGAAAATCTGATTTTCAAAATTTCTAAAAAACTTTAATACTCAAAACCTTGAGTAGGCTTGAGGTTTCTACTAAACAAATGAAAACATTTGGTAATGTAATTACACTGGGCTGAGTCAAGTCACACAAAGTAGTTGGTGTAATTAACCCTCATAATGTATAAATTGTCAATCAATTCAGTGTTACATCTTAGTTTTACTTAAGACCAACACATTATCACAAAATTTAGCCTACATTATACATTCTAGGGCCACCAGACCTTGTTTACATAAAATATACTTTGTTTTT